GATTTGGGTACCAAAAAGACTTATATAGTATTTTTTTTAATGATTTGTTTTTGTTTTGTTTTGGTTTTGAAAATTTTTTTTTGGCTTTGAATGACAAATCATATTCCTTATGTCAAAATAAATTATTTATGTATTTTTAATAGACAAAAATTACTCATATATATCTTATAAAACTTTTAGTAGATTGTAAAACATATTTCCAAAAGTGTTTATAGTAAAAAAAATATCTCAAAAACCATTTTTACATTTACCTGCACTTTTACTTCCTTTCGGTCGACCGACCCGGTCGATCGACGGTTATCTGTAAGCATTCCGGTCGACCGCGTCGGTCGACCGAAATTAAATTCCTACAGCTAGAGGTTTTTCAATTTACTGGGTTTCGGTCTTTATTGGGTTTCTGTTTTCAAACCCGAACTGCTCATCACCACTGATCCTCTCTTGGATCAATCTCAGCCGTTCCTTCACCATCTTCTAGATCCGACTCCTCATTTCCTCTTTCATTCCGAAAATCTTCCCAAATCCATCGGTTTCTCTTCTCGGTCGCTTCATCCGTCGACCGAAGCTCCTTTCCTCCATCAATTTCCGTCGGACATTGCTAGGTAATGATCTCTTTTTCATCTACTTAATCTTATTTCATTGCCCTAGCATCTATTCTTCTTATCTAGGGTTTTAGTTTCAGGGCATTTGGTTAATCTGCTCTAAATTTGTTTTATGTTTACAGGAAATTAAAAAATTTCTTTTATCTTGTCTGAAACCCTAGCTAATCATGCCTCCCAAGCCCCCCAAAAAGAGGTCTAAACCCGAATCTAGTTCCTCCTCTGTAAAAGCCTCACATTATGAGGATTATCTGTTGTTTAAACCTCTTGTTAGGAAATATAGGGAACTTTGTAAACTGAAGATTCTCCCAACGAGATATATCAAGTATCCTGAACTAGTCATATACAACACTCAGTCTATTCTTCGAAATGTTGGATTAGATAAATTGCTTGATGAAAGTCATAAAGTTCCTTATTATCCATTTCTTGTTTATCTGTTTTATGCGAACCTGTCCACAACATCTTCTGCTGATGGTAGTTTAACCATTACATCATCAGTAAAAAATATTGAAATTACCTTCTCTGCCAACGAACTTGCGGGGATTCTTAATATCCCAACAAGTGACGTTAACTTGCGGGGATTCTTAATATCCCAACAAGTGACGTTCATCTCATGTCTGTTGATGTTGGTAATCCAGATGTTAACCCACTCATGTTTAAGCCCGGATGCTCATATCCAATGAACAACAATTCATTGAATCCTATTGCTAGACTCATTGCCCGTATTGTTGCTCAAAATTTGATTCCTAAGACTGGAAGTTTTGATCACTTCGCCTCTGACAAGATTAATGCTGTTTATGCCATCTTTGCTAAAATCAAAGTTGATTGGGCTACTATCTTTATCAATAACATGGCATCTAAACACACTTTCTACCATTTGGTTCCTTTTTCACTCTCATTTTTCAACATTTCAATGTTGACCTTACAAATGAACCTAAGGTTGAATCCACAAGAGATTTCTTTGATAAAGTTTCCCTTTCCAGAATGCAAATATCTCTTGACTCCACACCATCTTCTCACTCCCGTTCTAGAGCCTCGACCTCTTCCACTTCTTCCACTTCTGAGATTTGTGACCGTCTTGACCGCCTTGAGACTCGTGTCACATCTATTCAGAAGGATGTTAGGACTATTCTTTCATACCAGTGTCAGTCTCTCGGGATCCCTTCTAATTCTGAGTCTGATTCTAGTGAGGATTCTGCTGGCGGCTCAGGTGGTGATGGTGGTGGTGATGGTGATGGTGAGGGTGATCGTGATGATGATGGTAGTGGTGATAGTGACAATGATGATGTTGGAGGAGGTGATGACTGATTTAGTTTCTTCATGTGATGCTTTTATGCTTTCTTCTGGGTTGTAAAACTTGATATCTCTGTTTTTTATTTGAGTGTAATAACTCTATGATGCTTTGTGGAACAACTATGTATGGTTTTGTGTGATGTTTTATGTATGACTTGCTATCTCGTGAACAAACCTATATTTATGCAAAAATATGTTGCTTCTAATGCCTATATGATGTTCTTTGTGGCTTATTATGTTCAGGTTATTTCTTTTATGAATCAATGCCTATATAAAATAACTTTCATGTTTTGGTGTGTAGCAAATAGTTGCTTATCATAAGATGTTTAAGTTTTGTATTTTCATGCACATCTATGATGCCTAAATGATGATTTGTAATTGCCTATGCTAGTTTATCGTTTTATGATCAATGCATGGTTAAGAGAATAATCATGTTTTGTTACTTGTATTTTTTATGCATAAGTTTGATGGATAGTTGTTGGTTTAGCTCCTGTATATATGCTCTATTGATGTCATTCAGACAGGGGGAGCCTTTTCTTTATTTTTCCTATCTAAGCTTATAAGCAGGGGGAGCATTGCTCCTATCTCTCATTTTTCCCTCTTTTTGATGTTGTCAAAGGTGGAGAAAAATACCACATATATAGCTTACAAATTAATTCTGTTATATATGATCATGTGTGTTTTATATATATGGTCATGTATGATTTATTCTTGTTTTGGGTTATATGTGGATTATCAGTGTATACTTTACATTCATGTATAATACATATATGGTATGATGATATCTAAGCTCAATATATATACACTTAACACGATTTTTGACGTTTTATATCATATAGATGATTTTTCTTAAAATATTGTTAAAATATCTTTATCTCTTGTTTACAGCTCTCTCACGCTTTGCTATATACATATAATTTATGCACAATACATATATGAATATTTACAAGTCCTATTTCAAATTTCTCTTTCATAAAAATACAGGTTTTCTAAGCATTTTTCAAAAACAGGTAGTTTTCACAAACGAAATTTGTTTTTCCAAAAATTCCTTTTCAAACATGTTCATTTCATCATTTATAAACTTTCCCCAAAGTTTCACTATTTTTGGATATGAATTGATATTTTTAACGAATTTCCAAAAACTGCCCAAAACCTGTTTTCTGCCCATGTCAGATTTCGGTCGACCGATACGGTCGACCGACGGTTGTCTGTTTTCTGAGAAACTTTCTAGTGTTTTTCCGGTCGACCGGAATTTCCGTCGGTCGACCGAAATATCCATTCGGTCGACCGAATTTCACGTCGGTCGACCGCCAGCCTCAAAATATGTTTTCTCAGGGTTTTTGAACTAATCGGTTGACCGTACCGGTCGACCGACGAGCTGACAAAATGAGCCTAACGGCTAGTTTTTTAAATGGACTTTTTGGTCTTTTTCTTATTTCTAGCTGTTGTATTAGGGTGCTATATATACTCCATTGCTGCTCTTCTTCTCCATCAATCAAGAAATCTAAGTTTACTGTTTAGCAAGATATTAATCACGTTTAAGAGCTGCTTAAGAAGTGTTTCGTTAATCTGTTTTCAAGAGAAAGTTTTCTACAACAAGAAGAGGCTCTCATATTCCATTGGGATCATATTCTTCAGCTCCTCTTGTTTATTGAGAAGCTTTTCTAAACTCTTTCCATATAGCTTATTATCTCACTGTCAATTGATTAGCTATATTCATTAAGTTATTTATTGGTTTTGATTCACTATTATCACACACACTTATTGAGCTTGATATTTCCATATTATATATTGTGGGTTGTGAGGTGTGATTTAGTGAGTGTGAGCTTCATTGTGTTCTCACTTGTTAATTGAGAACAAATCATTGTATTTAACTTTTATTTGTGAGAATCACTTGTAATACACTTGTACACCGAGAGAAGTGTGAGGAGAGAGAGACGGGGTCAAATCCAATAGGAGTGGCGTCGATTGACGAACCTAGGGAGAGGTTGTAATCGAGCACTTGAGGAGGAGGACACGGGCTAGATTCCTACACTTAGTGTGTAAAGTGTGATTGTTGAGTGATTGTGTAGTGTGAGAGTTTTCGGTGAACTTGTAAACCGAGTGTGTAGAAGTTCCGGCTTCCAAACCGGATTGTGATAGTGGATATCTCCTCGAGGTGAGGAGCGGGGACGTAGGTCGTGGGGACCGAACCTCGTAAACATATCGTGTGTTTGTGTTTTGCTTGTCTCATATTTTATTTGTGCATAATCTTATTGTTCTTATTGTTCATATCTATCTCTTGCAAGAACATATTGATCAACATAATCTTAATTGCTATTAATTGGGATTAGATTAGCATAAGACCCTAATCACCCCCCCTCTAGGGTCTAACAATTTAGTACTCGGATTTTTTGTTGGATTTTGATTTAAAGTATTATTCATTTAAAACTAGGATTTGGATTTAAATTGAAGGTGTCATTTGTTTCGAACTAGGATTCATATCTAAACTTTAGCTTTTATTCATTTAAGATTAGGATTCGGAGTTAGATTTAAGGTATTATTTATTAGGACTAGGATTGGGTTTAAATTTAATGTGTGATCGGTTATTTCGGATTGTGATTAGTATGCCTGTCTTAAGCTTGATTTTTCAAGATTTTCAATCTGTCAAATACAATGTTTTTGTCTTCACTTGAGAATTAATATATATGATTAATTATGCTTTCCATGATTTCTCACCGCTGAACTTTGTTAAACATTTTTGTCCCATTATTTATAACGTCATCCATATTGGACCTATCACTTTCATTATTGCAAGCAAAGTCCTTTAAAGCTCTCCCATTGCAATCACATGCACTCAATCTTTAGCTGATAAGAAACAAAAAGTTTGAAAAATATAGCATTGAAAACTTGTGAGAGAAATACAAAGCTAATTCAGTAGACTTGTTGAATTTGGATGTTGATTTGTGAACTGCTTAGAGTATAAATTATACCTTCACCACGACTACAAAATTTTGATGCAGGGAGCGATTTTAACATGGAACGTATATCGATATTATTTGTTCAAATCTCTGTTTTCTCACTAAATTCCTCTTAGTCATCATCTAGTTTTCTAACCAAGCACTCAATATCTTATAAACACAACTTCGACCTTCTCAGATTCATGTAACTTCTTCCTTACATGTTTTCTCAAAATCTCTCATAATCACATAAATTACAGTCTAATCCAATATGTAAATATCACAACAAAAGAATTACACATAAGCTTTTCTTTCTTTCTTTCCAACTTATTGAATGAAATAGAAATTATGCACGGATTTTACAAGGATATGCTTTCACTGATATACAACTTCCATGCGCTTATTGACTGAAGTTTCCCTCTGAAACTTAACAAAATGACACAACATATAGAGTTCTAGCATCATATTTCAACAATCACAGATCCATAAAACCATCAAACCAATGATAAGCCAATATTTCACCATTTAAGCTTTGAAGGAAAGTACTGTGAAAACAAAACTATTATTAGAGAAATGCAAATGCAAACAACATTTAGAGCAGGGAATTTTTTTTGAGAAGAGGTGATAATTAATATACCTTTTCAATGAGAGAAAGATAATATGGCTTCACTTTCTCCACATCAATTCTTACTTTGCTCTTGCTATAGAGATCATATTTGCTGCAAATTGAACAGAAAATGAAATTAGGATTTAGTAGAACATTTTTACGTTAAAAAAAATTAAGAAAATAGGACAACTTACTTGAATATGTGTAGCCACTTAAGGTTCTCCTTGTCCTCCTCATTCATCAGATGTTGGTACGCACCAAATTTGTGTAGAGCTGATCCATAGAGTCATTATTCATTGATTGTTAATGTAATTTCAAACTTAATCGACCAAAAATTGGAAGAAAAAATGATCTAATAATTCTAAAACTTACGATAGAATGAATGGTAGCGAATAATGAATAGGCCAGCTGAGGGTAGAGTAGTTTTGTTCTCCTTAGCCACCTATTACATAAACCAAATTAGTTCAAAATTCAAATACATAACGATGAAGGCATTTATAAGAGGTATTTAAGTAAGTATACCAAGTACATATAATCATCATGCCCCCATGACATCAACACATTGTCAAGCCCACATCCTTCAGAATAAATCCCACATTTCGTGCTGTATTCAGGATTATTGTAGTCTGGATTGCCTTCAAAGAACTGTAATAATCATAAACAAAAAACTAAGCAACTTGATTTTGGAAATTATATATGTACAAGTTTAGTTCGAATATTAATACCTTGCGGTGAACATTTGATTCATCATAAGCGCATCCCACCGGAAATGTATCACCTACAAAAAATTGCACTAGTTACTAATCTGAGGGGGGGAAATAAGCATGAACAAGAAAAAGGGTAAATTTCCAAAATTCCCAAAAAAGTTTGACCCATTTTGAGGTAACCCGAAAAAGTTTGAAAATGTTGTTTGACCCCCCCACCCATTTTGAGATAATACTCAACCTTTTGGGGTTATATTACAAGTTTTGCGGATTAAGTGACATTTCCAATCTTTTGAGGGTTTATCTTAAAATGAGCCAAACTGCTTGGGGTTTATGTGAAATTTAACCAAAGAGACAAGGTTATATGATATGCTCACCTACAACTGCCCATTGTGGAAGTTCTCCAAAGCTAGGATGAAGCAAAACCTTGCCAAGATCTACCAACATATATAATATATGTTTTAGTGATATGTACCTTTATGTTAAAAACTCTGATTTTCCATGAAGATTTTTAAGGTTACCATGAATAAGACCAGTCAGATGAAGCCAGTCTTCATTAGGATAGTCTCTCCTAATAGCCTCCGCAGTCTGTAACAAATGCTCAATTTGAGGTTCATCAAGATCAGGATCGCTTTCATCGACGAACTCGTTGAGAAGCTCACAGCATTCCCAAATGCTCATCTCAACTCTGTTCAATTTTCCGTACTCTTCTCTCATTTTCTTCACCTATAACGCAACACAGCATGTATAGTTGAAGTTATAGCTAAAGTTGAACTTAAGGCAGTTGTTAATGTCATTAATTAGGGTACAAGTTTTGATGATGTTGCACTTACAAATTCAACCGACTGGTGAATGTGATTCATCCTGTAGAACTCTTCGACTGACTTTTGCCTCTCTGATTCCGCTTCATAATCCCTGCCATTTTTTTCATTTATTTTTCTAGGAAATTAATCCTTTTGTCAAGGTTATGAGATCATAAGAGTTGCCAATTAGAGAAAAATCACATGTTAAAAAAAAATTTTTTTGTTCGTTTCCGTTTAGTTCAGCTGTTCAGCCCAGCCCAAAAGAACATAATAGTCAGCAAAACGTCAACGCTCGACCCATGAACTCTACGCACATTCCGTAGAGGAAAAGAATACTCTAATCTACGAAAATTTCTGATAAGATTTATATATTTCTGAAAATAAGACCAATTGTTTTAGATCCGTACATTATGCAGAGTGTACGTGCTAATATTAAAAATAAATAAAATTTATGATGAGCAACGAAAATGTAACGCGTACCTAAAAGTTTGGCCGAACGCATTTGCATCAGGCACCACAAACCCTCCATCCAAAATCAACTCCTTTGGATCGCTGGGGAATTTGGTCTCCTCCCTCCCCACATCTACAATAATCATAACACCAAAAAAAATGAGGGAAAACATTACATTTTTCAAATAGAGCATTAAACCCTTTTTTTTATTTATTTATTTAAGAAACTCACCATTCTGAGGCTGCTCGATGATAACAGTCATCTCTCTATGACTCAAATAACAAAACGCTAAATAAAAATGAAGAGAAATTGAGAGAGCAAATACGAAGAGTCGGGCCGCTTTTGTGTGAAGAGCGAAGAAAACAAACGTGGGTATTTATAGTCAAAATCTAGAGGGTACATTTTCGGGGTTTTGACTAAAGAGGACAGATATCATTACTGTGCAAAGTTATATACGATGAGGACAAAATCGGTACCGAAATAGAAAGTATTTTTTAAAAATGTGGCAATGAGTCAGCTTTGGCGTGGAGATCCGATCTTTGATGGGCCGGGCCGGTTAATCCGCACGAGTATCCGCTCTGGTGACAGCCTGGTTTTAGGTGGGACCCGCGTGACGTGGCTCCGAGTCAAAGGATTTCGACCGCGTTTTCTCAGTGGTGGCGGTTGGGATTGTACGGTATCTACCGGTTCTGCGGACCCGATTATGTTTGCACCCGAACGCCGACCTCGTTGAGAATAGGTGGGACCCAGAATTTCGGGGATTAGCCAGTTTTTTACTTTGAGGGCCTGTTTGGTTCGCTTTTTATCTCCGTGGAAACCCTTTTCACCGCCTCCACGTCAGGCCACGTTAGATAAAACGTTTCCGTCGGTTTATTTTCCCCACTTTGTTTCGCTAGGGCTTCACAAGCGAAACTGAAGCAAAACCGCCGCCACATCGGATTTCCTCCTCTCCCTCAATTCCTTCCTTCCCCTCGTGAAATCGACGGAAACAAGAGCCACGTCGGCTGTTTAGTTTCCTCGTTGATTTCTTCGACGTGCTATACTTACCTCCCCGCTCTCCTCCCGCCAGAAACTCCCGCGACCCTCTTTGTCCCTGTATTCGGATCTGATCATTTTCGACAATAATCAGATCTGATCATTGCCGACGCTGTAGCTTCATAAATCAAGGTAAAAATTCGTCTTTTTCGACAATAATCAGATCTGATCATTGCCGACGCTGTAGCTTCATAAATCAAGGTAAAAATTCGTCTTTCTTAATTTTCTTATTATTAGTTTAATTTACAACAATGATCTGAGAATTTGGGGGGGTGGGGGGTCTGATTTACGCATTTTTTTATTATCTCTACATTTTTGGTGATTTTCCTTTTATTTTTGAGATTTTACAGATAAGAAAATGTTCAAATTTCGTATAATTTCTTAGATTTTAGAATTAATTTTTGTTGTTTTAGCATTATTATTGGGAATGTATTACGGATTTATTTTTCTAGGTGACACATATCAGATTTAATTGCTAATAAATATCTGGATGTGTTGAAAAAATTTTAATCTGTGATGAGGAGCTTGTGACTGTAGCAGTGAGAATCCCCCATGATTTCGTATTTTCTAAGATCAATTTTTGGTATTTTTAATTATCTCATTATTAGATAGTATGAAAATGTTAATTGGTTGCGTGTTAATGTAATTTTACTGATTTTAGGAGCTAAAGTTCATATCTTTGTTATTTATTAATGCTATTTATATCACTGGAATATTTTTTGGGTTTGATATTGTAGTAATCCATGTTAGTAAAATGTAAATTGTAAATTTTAAATTATAATTTGTAATTTTTTCAGATTTTGACATAATTCGACTTAGATTCTAACGTGATAATGATTTTTTGCATCGTAGATGGATAATGATGGTGATTGTTCCGATGAACAAAGTGTTATAAATATGGTTCAAGGTGCTGCCCTATCCGTTCTAATTATAATAATTACTGTCATAAGAAGAATGCAAGCAAGGCGTAAATCAATTCGTAGTGGTCCAAGTAAGGAAAAAAGAAGACGAGAGAGAGCTAGAATTGAGCACATAAGTCGAATTTATAATGGTTTTAGTGATAGTTGCGTGAATTATATTAGAATAAGAAGTGGTGCTTTTGCAAAACTAGCGATTATAATGAGGATCAATAACCTGCTAAAAGACTCAAGGAATATAACAGTGGAAGAACAACTTATAATGACTCTAAACATTCTGGGTCATAAATCTAAAAATCGCATAGTTAGATCTCATTTTATAAGATCAGGGGAGACAGTGAGTAGATATTTCAACAAGGTATTACAAGCAATTATTTGCCTGCGTGGACGGTACATGAGACAAGCCCCCAATGACATTCCCCAAGAGATCATTAACAACCCGCTATACTACCCTTATTTCAAGGTATATCTACACTTTAAGCATATTTAAATGTATAATCAATGTAAGTAAATTTTAATTTAGATGTGTTATACACGTATTATAGGATTGCATTGGAATGATAGATGGGACACACATAGATGCTATGCTTCCGATTAATCTTGTTGCCCGATTTCGAGGCCGCAAAGGTGTTACACAGAATGTGCTTGCAGCTTGCACCCCAAACAAACTGTTCACATATGTTCTAGCAGGTTGGGAGGGGTCTGCAAATGATTATAGGATTCTTCAGGACGCATTGTCTAGACCACAACCACATGGATTAAGAGTCTATGATGGTAATTAATTATAGACTTAACTTAAAATTTACTATTTTTAATATTCAAACTTGACTTAACAATTTTCTTAATAAAATTGTAGGCAAATACTATCTATGTGATGCTGGGTACCCAACCATGCCAGGTTTCATCTCTCCATACCGAGGTGTTAGATATCATTTGAAAGAACATTCGGGTAAAACACCTAATAATAGAAGAGAATTATTCAATCTAAGACATTCTTCATTGAGGTCTAAGATTGAATCTACATTTGGCACATTGAAGAATCGTTTCAAGATTTTGTGTGCTAAGCCGCATTATCCTTTTCCTATACAAGTAGATATCGTATTGGCATGCACGGTGCTCCATAATTTCATTGCAACTGTGGATCCAAGTGATGAATTACTCAACGATGATGAAATTAATGAAGACATTGATGGTGAAGTGGATTTCGAGAATGACACTAATTTAGTTGATTTTACTCAAAATCAAAACCAAAAAGAGCAAACTGAATCAAGAAATGAGTGGAAGACTCTTAGGGATGACATTGCTTGGGCGATGTGGGTGGA